TGTGTTCTGGACCTTTAGGAGGCCAAGGGGGAGTTGGGAACCTCCTTACCATTAAAGTCTCAAGTCACTGAGTAAAGGAGAATGGGAGGGGGAAAAAATATTTCAGTAAATGAAGGGAATTCTGTACAAGAAAAGAGGAAATGGAGAAGCTGTTGTCTTCTCCCTCCTCTGTGTCTGAAGGAGAGCAGGAAATGTCCCTCCTGTCACCCTGTGCTTTAAACCCTTCTGATCAGCACAGACAGGTTAAAAGCAGAGTTCCCATGGTGGTTACTGGAACTCAGCTTTCCAAACAACAGAGACCACATGGACTATCAGCTTTCAGCTCTCCTCAGCTACTGTGTCCTCTCAGGTAACACAAACCCCTTCACGCAAGACAGGCAATAAGCCAAATCCCACTGCCACAGACACCCACCCTAAAAGAGAAGCCAGCCAGGCCATCCTGAGCTTCGGGCTTCCTGTAAGGCAAATTGGTGGTGCAGGACTCCATGAAGGAGGTGGGGCTGCTCATCACTGAAAACTGAGCAAGGCAAGACAGGAGAACACTTCCTCAGGTTCACGTTGAGGAGATGGGGTGCTTTGAAAGCCTACATTTAGACTTGTAAATTCACTGAAAACTGAGCAAGGCAAGACAGGAGAACACTTCCTCAGGTTCATATTTAGGAGATGGGGCCCTTTGAAAGCCTTTAGACTTGTAAAGTGCCTGTTTGGAAAGAGGTCCTGGTTTCTGTTGGAGAAACCAACTCAGTGGCTCAGAAGTCACTCATGGATGCAGAGAAGGGACTTTAAACGGTGACATGTAAATGAATTCTTTATTAATTATGCCATAAGCCACCCATTTGTGAGTCTCTCCCTGAACTTTGACCAAGGCAAACAGGATTGCAGTGGCAGGCAGTGAGATAGAATGAGGTTTCCTCATGGGAGGCATTTTATACCCTTTGAAGTAATCAGATCAAAGTTTAATGGTGGGTGGAGTCATTGCCCATTCTAATAAAAGCTGCTATATTTGAATACCTATATGGATGAAAAGGGGTTTTAAGGGATAAAACAAAGACAGCAGTAAGCTTCTCTCTCTCAATCCACCCATATCTACAGAAAACTGAAAGTAGAAAAATATTCTAATGATTAAGTCAGACAAATAGCTTCCCCTCCATGAAAACTGCTGAACAGTAAACAGCAAAGGAATTTATGAAGCTTGTAAAGGTGGTGGATAAAATAATAGAAGAGATAAAAATGCCTGTCATCTTGAGTAAACCCATTCTCCTCATTGCTCTGAAAGAAAAGGGCTTGTCACCTCTGCACTGATAAAACTGACTTGGCAAATACCTTCCCATGCACTATTTTACAATTACAGTAACATACACCCAGCATGTTTTTCATTCGTGATTGCATTGCTAATCTCAGCTTTCAGCTCACACACCAGCCAGGAGTTCTATTTAGATAGTGCCTCACCCCATACCTTTGCTTGATGAACACAGGAATGGGCCTTGGATTGTCCTCTACTCCTTCCTCCAGTCTTTAGGAATCATCTAACAGCAAATGGGTCACCACAAACCCTATACACCCCTAATGCCCAAGAGCATGTTTAAAGATTTTCTGCTAGGTCTACCAGTGCTTTAAATCCAAGCCTTTCCCTGAATCCACCTTGTGTGGAGCCAACTGCAACAACAGCTCCTGCCTGTGCTTCCTCACAACCATCCAAGGCTCTGTGCTCTGAGTGCACACATCCTTCTCGGGTCCATCTGGTCTGTGCCAGACCCCAACATCCACAGCTTCTCCAAGTCCCACAGCAGCACGTGCTGGAGCAGCATCAGCTTCTGCTGCCTCTTAATCTGCTTCCCACTTTGCATTTACCTGGGCTTTTACAAGGAGAAGGGGATTCTTTCCCAACAACTTTGTCATCCTCCTCCATGGCCCACTGATACACCTGTCAACTGTGGACACAACCCCCTGGGTTACTGAATCAGCTCATGAGTGCATCAGCACCAGAAAGAAGCTACGTGATCCCTACAACAGTTATTTCTGATCACTGGGAGAAAGCAGGAAGATACAGGATCAATGGGAGAAAAGCCAGGCAAAACTCATCCTGTTACTACAAATTTCCCACTAGTTTAGGACTTGCTTTAAAATACCCCCCGTTTTTCCAGCTCTTGCTTTGAAACCAGGATGTGTGCATCAAAGAGAAGCAGGCATTTCACTGCTGCCCTCCCCACAAACTCTGAATGCCTGGCAGGATCATTTCTGGGATGGCCACACTGCTGTCCCAGACCCCCCAGGGCAGCTCTACCTGCAGTACCTGGGTGATTCCCCTGCTCCAGGTTAATCTTCTCCTGGCTCTCCAGCTTAGCCACTGCTGCTGAAGTGCCTGTTCTGTACCCTACTGAGCAAGGAAAACAGGATGAGGGTCATGCTGGTGGATGGGCCTTTGATATTCCAGGGACAAGAGAAAAAAGCTGGGATCTGGCCCAATAAGCCTGCGAGGGTTGCAGGTCCTTGAACTGCACAGATGCCTTGGTCAGGCCTGTAACTTATCCCTGCAAAAACCTGCTTTTCTCTGCTGGAGAAAGTTGGTAAAGACAGGGAAAAGCTTCAGCTGCTTTTTGACAGTCAGGCACACTCCCCTTCCCTTCTTACCAAGAACACAACAAAACAAAAGAACAATGGGCAACAAAAGAACAAGGTGAAATAGAACTTTGTTCCTTCCTGAGGGTTTTTTTTTTTTCCTTTCTGAGTTTTTTTCCTTCCCTGCTATCATCTGAACATGTGGCCTGGCTGTGCTGTCACTGCCCCAGGGACAACAGCTGGGCAAACGGCTTGGCTGCTCTGAGTCCCAGGTTTTCCTGCTTTGCAGTCCCCTCTGCTGGCAGACACAAGCAGTTCTTCCATCCGCAGGGAGCAGCACTTACTCACCTGGACTTCTGGAGTGGCCTTCACCCACTGCTGGTGGGCTCACAACATTTGGATGTGACACACCTCTCCTTTCCACAGCTGCCTCCCTGCCCACCATTCCCTTCCCATGGCACCCCAGGGGCCCACCAAAGTTGCAAGTGCTGCCCCATTACATGAACTCAGCACACAGAGGTGCCAAGTGCAAGGCTTGGATCACCACACATTTCAGGGTGCACTTGGAGCAGGGATGGGAAAGCAGCTTGGATGGTTACACTGGAGCTGAGCTGCTCCTGCCCCAAGTGCTCACACAGATGCGAAGGAAGGGAGGACAGCACGGAAGCCAGGCTGATGGGAGAAGATCAGGGGCTGGGTTTCAGGATAGGCGAAGGGAGGTAGCAATACCAGGATAACCAAGGAAAACCACAGGGCAGGACAGAGGCAAAGAGCAAAAAAATCCTTTCCTACAGTCAGCAACACCCATTTTCACTATTATAAGGGTTGATTTGGGTATTTTTGGGGAGAAAAGCCCCCCCCCCAAACCTAAGTGGGGCTTAAAGGGCTGGTGCAGAGTGAGCTGCCAGGTTTGGAGCCCCTGTAGGCTTTGCAGCACAGAAGCTCTTCAGAGTAGTTGTTCCCAGAGCATGGGACCCCACACATTGCATGGATCCCACTTGGTATGGAGGACCAACACTTGCCCATGGCTTGTGTGAGCTTTTTGCCTGGCACAAATCCCACACAAGCAGGTTTGCTACACAAGACAAGCAAAACACAAGTGCTTTTATAGCTTGGCAAGCAAAGCATTTGTTTGACTGCCATAGTTCTACTTCCAAGCCAGATTCAGAGTGGCCTGGGGAGTAACTCATATGTGTGAAGCATTTGCCCTGCTGGACAGGGATGAGAGTTGCTGGAATTGATGAGAGTAATATGCAAGTGGTGAAACTGGTTATGAAAACACCTTATGAAACCCAAATCTTTTACTGCCACGACCAGGCTGGTACCAACTACCAAAACTGTTTTGTGCAGCAACACCTTCATGCCTGAACTCTGAGAAACTACAAACAGTGATTAAAGCCTCTAGAGATGCTTTCATCACCAATTTAGACATGCCAACAAAAATTTCCCCTTGTTTTTATCTCCTTTCTCTCCCCAACTTCAGCACTTGGCCACCTTCATCATGGACAAGAGCGAGTCCATCACAACAGTGGATGATGCAATCAGGAAACTCATCCTGCTCAACTCCAAAGAGAAGATCTGGACACAGGAGATGCTGCTGCAAGTGAACGACAAGTCCATCCGGCTGCTGGACTGTGAGACGCAGGTACCTGGAGCCCTGTGGGACTGACCCCAGACTGAAGTGTGGGGTGCAGTGAGTGCCCTTTCCATTCTGCCTGGGAGAGAGCAAGTTCTAAGGAACCCAAACGAGGGTGAATCACTACAAAATCCTCTCCTAGATGAGAGTCAGCCCTGCAGCATAGGAACAGCATGGTTTTCGCAATGACAAATTAAGGAAGATCAGCCCAAGGATCCCAGGAGTTCCTGCACAGGAGTTCCCTCTCAGTTCGAGTTCCCCATTGCCTGACACCTTTCCCTTTCTCTTGCAGGAGGAGCTGGAGGACTTTCCCCTGCCGACAGTGCAGCACTGCCAGACAGTGCTCAATCAGATGCGCTATTCCTCCATCCTTCTGCTCGTGTGTCAGGATTCTGAGCAGCACAAACCTGACATCCACTTCTTCAACTGCGACGAAGTGGAGGTAAGCAGAGCCCTCCTGCTTGCTGTGAAACAGAACAAAACACACTTCTTGCTGTCTGCCCTTTCCCCCTTCCTGCAATCCTTCCCAAAGCCAAGCCCTTAAAAACATCCCTGCTTTATCCTTAAGGCGGAGATGGTTCACGAGGACATAGAAAGTGCCCTGGCAGACCACAAGCACGGGAAGAAGATACGGCCACAGACACTCAAGTAAGTGCTGCGGGATACAACTGGGAGTAACAACAATAAACCCCTGTTTCCAGTGGTTTAGTCACACTCCAGTTTCCTGGAAACAGGATCTGAGACGACTGATGGGTTTGATCTGTATCATTTTCCTTGCAGGGCAAACCAGGAAAAGATCAAGCAGAGACAATCCATCCTCCCCCCACCTCAAGGACCGGCTCCCATCCCGATCCAGCATGACATGCGAGGCTCAGCGATGAACAGGAACAGGGTGGCACCTCCTTCCCAGCATGATCCAGGTACTGGGAGCACTCAGGAAGTCTGTCCTGGGGATGGGAGACTAATTAACTCAGACAGCCAACCTTCCTGTAGTGGTCTGTGTGAAAATAAGTGTTGTACCCACTGGGCATTTTCTGCTCAACAAATAAAAGCTCCCAGAAACTCCTTGTAACAACACCCTTATTTGGGGGATATAGAAATGCCAAAAAGCAAAAGCCCCTCATAAGCCATTATATGAAATTTGAACCAGGCCTTGGTGATCTTAAAATGTACAGACAAGACGTTTGGTCAGAAAGACAAATGTCTGGCTCTGCTGACTTCACAGGAGCCAAGATTTCACCCTTGAAAATCAACTTATTTTCATGAATTCTTGTAAAGTCAAGTGTGGAAATGCAGATCTGAACTCACCCCTCTTATGTGCTCATCAAAAGTCTGATTCCAAAACCATCCTGACTTCAGCCCACTTGAGTTGGCTTGGAAAAACCTGGTATTTTCCTTTGGAGAAAGAAATAACAGAAGTAAGTTCCTAGGAACAGAAACAAGCTCTTTCTCTTACAAAAGATTAAAGTGATGAACGAACTATAAGCAGTTTTTACCTCTGCCTATCATACCACCTTATCTTGGCATTCATTTCTAGTTTCAAGGAAAATACTTATAGGATACTATAACATATCCAAAACACTCATTTTACTGGGATGGCTTCTGAAGCCAAGCAACTGCTCTGGCTGCTGAGTGGAGAACTTATTTCAGGCCCAGTTCTGCATCATAGAAGGAATATCTCTATTTCTGAGCTGGACCATGAATAAACATCTCTATTCTGATGAAAAGCAGCCACTCTTACCTCTGCTCTTCCAAGTGTGCTCACATCAGCAGAGCTGGGAATTCCTCTAGGCAGGATTTCTGGCTCTGAGTGCACAGAGCCTGGCAGGAGAGAAGATGACAGGAGAAAGCCTTGAGTGATGCCTGTTTGCTGAGATTCCTTCTCCATGAAATGCTTTCCCACTTTTCCTACAAAACCTGTCCCAGTGGGGCACCTCATCCCTACATTTACAGATGCTCTGGATTTGTCACGGTCCTTTGCCAAAACTGCCTCCCCAATTCTCCCACTTGGCAGATCCTGCTGTACCAGACCTTTCCAAGCCCCTGCCCGAGCTGACAGCATTTGCTTTGTATGAGGGGCCACCCCAATGATTGTTCCCACTGGAATATCCCCCCCACACTGGGTGTGTGGCTTCTGGAAGCCAGGAGGTTGGGTTTTTTGCAGGATGATTGGGATTTAGCACCCATTACAAACATTATTCCTGAGGTGCCCTCCCAACCCAGAACAAACACCCAAGCTCGGAGCTACCATTCCATGGATCCCTGCCTTTCCTGGAGCCTATTTCCAACCTCAGATGGTAAATCTGTTTTTCTCTCCCTTGTTTGCAGACTATGAACGACGAAGCTCTGGCTCTCATGACCATGAGGAATCCCGTGCCATGTTAGCACAGAAGATTGAAAAGGAAACGGTGGGTGACAGGGACACTGCACAGTCCATAGGCAGGAGCAGAGGCAGCAAGCAAGGGAGAGGGAGCAGAGGCAGGGAGCAGACATTTAATGCATCATCTGGGCATTTTTCCAGTTGATACCTGCTGTGCATAAAGATAAGGTGACCAAAAGCAAGTCTCCATCACCGCATCAGTGACAATGTCCTCTGACCTGAGGCAGCTCTGCTGATTCCAGCTCTGCTCCTCCCCATCCCACTTGGGTTATTTTCCAGCCGTCCTTTAGGAGGGGTCACTTGTCCCCTTGGTACAGACAGCAGCTCTGTGTTTGCAAAGGGAAGCATTGAGCTGCATTTCATGCCTGGATTACCCACTCATGTGCATTCTCCTGGGAAATGCAGCAGGCCCTGGGATTCAGGCTCCCAGCTGTGCACAGCCCAGGCTCGCTTTCAGGTTGATCCCTTGTGTTTCTGTCCTCACAGCAAATCCTGAACTGCACCCTGGATGACATCGAAGTGTTTGTCGCCCGGCTCCAGAAGGCTGCAGAGGCATTCCGACAGCTCAACCAAAGGAAGAAAGGGAAGAAGAACAAGAAGAAAGGGCCAGCAGGTGCAGTGCAGCAGCCACAACAAACAGGGAGCACAGGGGGGCCATGGATGAAGGTGGCGGGGGACACCTCAGCTCTTGGCCCAGCAAGGCCAGATTGATGCCATGGCACAGCCACAGATCCAGGCACACAAGTTTGGGAGGTGCCGCTGCCCATGGGCACCTCTGGCAGAGCACATGGAGCCTCCGGCACACAGAGGGAGTTTGCCTTTCCCTGAACCCCTGATTTTCAGTAGTTCTGGTCTCAATACCCATTTCTGCTGTGCCTTCTGAATGGCAGGCAGATGGAAGCTTCCCTAAGGGGATGCTCTCACTAACATGTCCTTCTCTGCCCCTTCTCCTGGCAGAGGGAATGCTGACCCTCCGAGCAAGACCCCCGAGCGAGGCCGAGTTCATAGACTGCTTCCAGAAAACCAAACTGGCTTTTAACCTCTTGGTAAGACACAGAGGAGTTTCCATCCCATGCAGGGACAGGACTTTTCCCTATGTATCCCAGCAGTGAGTGTTTAGAGTGAAACTTGAATGGAAAACACTGACAAGGGACAACAGTGTGAATTCCAGGTTCTTCAGAACTCAGGACAAACATTGTGTCAGACTTGTGCAGGTTTTCTGGGACAAGCTGTTTAACCAAAACTAAAAGCATCAAGTCCAGGATGGGACAGAGCAGCCAGAGGGTTGCAGCACCCAGGTCTTTTCAGATCCAGGCCTGGGAAGTCTCTGCTTGACAGTAACTGAAGTCTCCCATTGCCCCAATGTTCCTGGGCCTCTCTTTCTCCCCTGTCAGATCCTCTGTATTGTGAAGGGGATGAAAAGGTAGAGCATAAAGATGATCCCAGTGCTACCAGCTCTGCTCAGTGAAACACAAGAGACCAGAAGGCTAACAAAGCAGCAGGAATTCTGTCAGTTGTGACCAAACTTGTCCAGCAAACACATCCTGCAAGCTTCTTCCTGGGCAGTCACTAATATGGAAACCCCAGAGACGGGGTTTGCAGGACACCAAGCTCCAGCCTTTTCTTTTAGAAGCAAATATGGATAATTTGTGCCTGCTCAGGATGAGAAGGAGCAGCTTATCTCCTGGCAAGAGCCCAGGGTTGCGCATGGAGCAGAGCTGGGACCCCGTGTGGATCCATGCCACATTCCTCACCACATGGGAAGTGCCCATTCACTGGGTTACCCTGCTGCCAGAAGTTGTTTCTCACTTCCCACTCCACATTAATGTTTAATCTCCAGCATTTCAAATGCTTTGCATTTCAGTAGGAGCAGGGAGCCTGTCTCCCGTGGCAGGAGTGCCAGGAGCCCAGGACAGGAGAAGGGTCTTGAATGGAAGCACAAACTGGAGAGGTTTCTCACCACAGCTCTGCTGATTGCTGCTGCCAAAACCCTTACAGTTCTTACAGTAAATTAACCCCAAGTGTTTGCTCCTCCATTCTGCCACAGTTCACCTCAAACACAACTGGATTTGGAGCCTTTCAGTGGCCAGGGCAGCTCCAGGTGCCACAGGCAAGACCTTGGTGGAGACTTTCCCTTGTCAGCAATTGCAAAGGGGCCCTCAAAACACCAATCCTGTTGTTTTCATTCATGGAACTAGTGGGATTCTCAACCCTGCAAGAGGCAGAAGCAACCATAATCCTGGCTTTTCCTCCCTAGGACTTTCAAAATAAGCCAGGGTTATGGCTCAAATTACCTTCCAAGACACTGATTTAACAGAGAGGGTACTCCACCCATCCAGAAATTCGTCAGGAATTATAAATGGACACAAAATTAAAATGAATGATTCCTACTCCTCCATCCCTTACTGTTCTCATCAGCAACACACCCCTCATGTGACAGAAAAGAAAAGGCACACTCAGGTGAGGGTTAAACTGTGTTTCTCTTTCCAGGCCAAACTGAGGAAGCACATCCAGAACCCCAGTGCTTCAGAGTTGGTGCATTTCCTATTTGGGCCACTGGAACTGGTAAATCTTATTCCCAGGTCTCACTGGGAATTTCCTTTTTATTTCTACTTCACACTTTCAAGCAGACAGACTGCGCACAATGGTTAGAAAACTGCTCACACCTGGCCACAGCTTTCTCAGGAACTTCCAGAAGTGATGCTGGTTGTTCCTGGCCTCTGATCCGGTTTCCAGCTTGTAGTAAATACAGGAACCCTAGCAAATAATCTTTCCATACAATCAATAAAGCATTACTGTGAACAAAAGGGGCAGTGAGCTGGGGTTCCCACTGGGAATCTGTCTGGTCTCACCTTCAGGCAAACACAGCTCAGTATTTGCACTGAAAATGCTTGGAAGCAGAAATCCCAACTTGGAAAAGGAGTCAGAAAGGACATAGGAGTAGCAAGATACTTCCCATCTTTTGGAGCATCAGCTTGTGACACTTCCCTTTTCTGTAGCAACAGCTCATTTATAGATCAGATCTTGCTTTGACTCCAATCTAAAAAAAAATCATGTTCTCCTGAACTGTCCAGTCTCCTCCAAAGACTTAGGTTGATGTTTCTTGAGGTGACTGAGCTGATCCAAGGATCAGTTTTGTCTTTGACACCTGCTTCTCTGTGTCCCTGATTTGACACTTTGACTGTTTCTTGCAAGTCCTCTCCTCTTTGTGTGGTTTGTGTGTGACCCAGATCGTCAATAGCTGTGGTGGCCCCGAGCTGGCCCGGTCTGTCCTCAGCCCACTGCTTTCTAAAGATGCCACCGATTTCCTGAGAGGACACCTGACACCCAAAGAGATAAACCTCTGGGATTCCCTGGGGGAGACATGGACCAGATCCAGGTGAGGACAGAACTGTCATCTCCCCAGGCTCCCCAGGCAGAGGGGATGCTTGGATGCCCTGATGCTCCTGCTTCTCCTTTGAGGGGATGCTCTCAAAGACACATTCCTGTGAATGTCACCTCATATTCCCGCTTTGTGTCCTAGAGCTGACTGGCCCCGAGATGCGAACATCCCCACCTACATCCCCAAATTCCGCAATGGCTGGGAACCACCCACAGAAATCTTCCGTGGAGCTCCCTGGGAAATAGACATTGGACACTTGCAAGAGGAGGTTAGTCCTGTGTCCCTGGGGATCCTCTCTTCCCTCTCCCTCCCCCTTTTCCAGAGAAATGGAGCTGCAGGGGGTGTGGTGGTGTATAACAAGTAGTTGGCTCAAAATTCAGTTGGATCTGGTTGCTGCAGTTAAATATGGGAAGCAAATTGTGAGGCTGAAAAAGGGCAGCAATAGTCAGCCTCTCCCGATTCAAGGCAACAGGACCCTACAATGTCACAGGGAAACAGGCTTCCCTGGAGAACATCTTGACCAAAAGCTGCCAGGCCATGGCTCATCTCCCACTATCCCTCTCCTTTCCTCTGATCAGCTTTCACCTTTCCTGGTAACACTGACTCCATGTCTGCCTTTCCAGCTCTCCTCAGCCAATGGATATCCTTACCGGAACTCCTCACTCAAGCGTGGCCAGGCGGCTGAGCAGACACAGCCTGGGGATGCCTTCAAACAGAATGTCACTCCACATGGAAATAGGTAATGGATCTGTACTTGGAACCTCAGGAACACACATGGACACATACGATGACACTGGGAAGTTTGGGCATCCTGGAGACAACTCCCTGCCACTATTAATAACCACAAAGAGCAGATAAAGATCAGTGGAGAGATTATTCCTAGGAGCACTGTCTGCTGTTTAACCCCCTGCAGCTCTGCAAGGAAAGGAATCCCAGGTGTTTTCCACCACAGGAGACAAAAACATTGACTGACTTCATCAGTACATCCATAGATTTTGTTTCCCAAAATCAGCCCACCAAAGTGACCTTAAGGAACAGGTGCCAAAGATGCTGCACTGCAC